CACACACACACACGCACACACACACACACACACACACACACACACACACACACACACACACTGTTCTTCATGTACTCTGGCTGTAATAAACGCGCTGGACTCTGCTGACTCTGCTGTTCCTGTATTGTTATTATTTCTGTTCCTCATCATCCGTCTCTGACCGCCATCCAGAACTAGCCCAGTGCTTCCTCCAGCAAGCTCGTGTGTGTGTGTGTGTGTGTGTGTGTGTGTGTGTGTGTGCAGGGCTGTCCTGCATAACAGTGCAGTGTGTGTTTAATGTTCTCCAGTTTGTTCATCATGAACCAGCGAGATCATCACATGCATGCGGAGCGCTCGTGCATCCCATCTGCATGTGTGTGTGTGTGTGTGTGTGTGTGTGTGTGTGATGAAGACAGCACATCTGCATCTCTGTGATTGCTGATAGACACTGGTGTACAGACGCAGACGCTCCTCTCCTGCTGAGGAAACACTGAATGAGGAGATCACTCTGATATATCTGTCAGCTGCTCTCAGATCAGTGCTGTGTGTGCGTGTGTGTTCAGTGTACAACAGAGTGTGTGTATAAAAACTCTTCCTCTGCACGGATCAGGAACACACACACACTTCATTCCCTATCCTGCACATGATCAGTGTTACGCACACACACACACTCTGAGGGCTGATGTCTGGGCTGCAAGATGAGTGTATTACTGAGTGAAACACACACACACACACACACACACACAGAGGGATGCTCCAGCATGCTGCTCATTACTCTTGGCTCCTCCTCTTCCTCAGAGCTGTGCTGTATTGTTGCTGTGATCAGACAAAACCCCGCCCTCATTAGCAAGCACACCTGCCGACAGTCCTGTTCCTCTCAGCACCCCCGCCCCCCATCTGGTCCTTAATGCCGATAGTCACACACCCCGAACAGCCCACCCCATCTCCCCACCCCTCCCATTGGTTTCCTCTACCCAGTCCTTAACTTTGGTACAGTATCCCCAGATACACCCCCCGACCTGGTCCTTTACATAGGTACAGTGTACCCCTAAAACCACCCCCCTCCTGTTGGTTCTCCCCCCTAGTCCTCGCAGTTGGTACAGTCTTACACCCCTAAACCCCCAACCCCCCCCCCATTGTTTCTTCCCAGTCATACACCACTATACCACCCAACACCTCCCCCACTCCACCTTGATGGTTCTCTCCTCACTGTTGGTACAGTCATACACCCCTAAATCCCCCCCTCCCGTTGGTTCTCCCCCCAGTCCTCACTGTTGGTCACACACCCCTAACCCAACTCCCACCCCCG